TCATTGCTTTAAAATAAAAAGTATTTTAAACTTAATGGGGCTTATGTTGAAAAACAAAGTTGTTTTTTTTTTTAGTTTTAATTTTAATTTCATTTTCTATGAGCTTAAAAAAATGAAAACAAACAAACAAACAAAACTTATCAGAGGGTATGTGCACTTCCCAGAGAGAGAGACAAAGAGAGAAAGAAGGAAAGTGTGGAAATCCCCACCTCCTCCACCATGGAGGATGGTGGCACTTCATTCCCTTTTCCTTCATTTCTTCCTCCTTTCAGGATTTTAGGTACACATGCACATAGACCCAGCATATTTTCAAGCCACTGGGTCTAGGACTCAAACTGTGCAGCCAGCAATGTGAGATCCAACTGCCTTAACCAGCATGTCTTGCACTGACCTCCATAAGCTTTTGAAGTCTTCTCATATATTTCTACACCCTCTCCGGCATCTAGGACCACTACAGTAATAGTGACTTGCAGTCAGTTGTGGTGAAGCTCCTTAAAATAATCTCTCATTCTGGTATTCATCAGCTAATTGAAGAAGACATTTCTAAGTAACTGCTATCTGTTCAGTACAATGTAGAAATACACAGAACCAGAGTCTGTCTGTTCCAGGAAAGTAAAGCCACATGAAAGAAGCAACATCCTGCTTGTTTATAGTGATGTAGTATTTTTAAGTCCCTATACACTGTTGAGTGGTTAATCTTACAGAAAAGAGCATTTTAAAATTCCTAGAAAATCGGGACCAGCAGTTGGCATAATGACTATGTCCCTGGACTCCCATGTAGTCAATCGAGGTTCGAGTCCCAGACCCAGTGGCTTGCACTCATGCCAGGCACGTGTGCATGCATGCCCAAGGTCTCGAGTGGAGAATGGAGGAAAAGGGGCAGTGTGGCCATCACCCTTGGGGGGGGGGTGTGACTTCTTGCTTTCTGTCTGTCTCTCTCTGAATTTCTGGTGAGCGCACATGCCCTATAGCAAAAACCTCTCCATTAAAAAAAAAATCCTAGAAAAACACTTCAAGAGTCCTAATACAGTAATTAGAGAGGGTGTGTCAATTATTTTGACTCTCAATTCTAAGGTGCTGGTGAAAAAGATTTACCTTTTTCCTAGTGAAGTGGAACATGTTTTATATGAATGAAAAGAAACTACATGTCTGCTTTTTATTTTACAAACACTTGTTTAAGGTTTAGAGATCTCAAGTGAAAATAGAGAAACAGCATGGATTAGATAACACCTACCCTAAATTAAATATTTGTAATAGGAAGGTTAAAGGCAACATCTGCCTCCCTTCTAACTGTTGCTAACTCTCTGCCTATGCACAGTGGGTTGTGAATGAATAATTCCATTTCCAACCCCATCCCCAGAGGAGGATACTGCTTCTCTTGTGTATTTGCCTTATTATTACATCCATTATAGTTTCCCATGATTTTTAAATTTTCTGTCTTCTCTTTGTAAATACTGTAAGCTCCATGGTGAGCTATGTCTCTCTTGTCTATTATTTTACTCCAGCATTATCATACACTGGTATGGTTTAACTATATCCCCCAAAAGTTCATGTGCTAAAACTTGGTCACTATCATGACAGTATTAAGAGGTTGACTATGGTACTAAAAAGTAGATCCTTGGGCTGACTCCAAGGCCTGATGGCTAAGGCAACCAGATCCCACATGACCAACCATATAATTCAAGTTCCAGACCCAGCAGCTTGAGAAACATGTCAGGGGTGTGTGTGTGTGTGTGTGTGTGTGTGTGTGTGTGTGTACCCAAAATCTCAAAAGGAAGGAGAGATGGAGGAGAAGGGATTGTGTTATGACCATTCCCCATGAGGGGTGCTTTCTCATCTCCCCCTCTAAATTTCATCTGGCAAGCACACATATCTTCTATAAAGAAAAAAGAGGAGGGGCCTTATGAAGGTGATTAGGATTAGACAAGGTTAATCAGGGTGAGGCCCCCATGATTGAGTACTGGTGGCTTTATAAGAAAAGGGAGAGAAACCAGAGACACAGACACACATTCTTATTCTCTCACCATGTGATACTCTGAGCCACCTCAAGACTCTGCAGGGAGTTACCACCAACAAGAAGATCCCCACCAGATGTGGTCCCTTGACCTTGAAACTTTAAAACCATATTCCTTATAAATTATAAATACCAGTCTGTGGTGTTCACTTACAGCAACAACAACAACAACAAACAAACAAAAAAACAGACCAAAATGCCTATCTACCATAAGTTCTTAGCACACGTGTGCTCAAAAATAATTGCTAAGTGAGTAAATAATTGGTGAATTCTAAGGAAAGAGACCTCTGTAATGGGGAACCCAAGCAAAAACTTTTAAAGAATTAGATATTTACTGAATAGACACTGGGATAGGCTCTAACAGCAAGGGAGAATGGAGTTTAGAGGCACAGGATTTCGACAGATAATTCTAAGTATCCAACCCAATGACCCTTGCTTGTTTGCTAGAGTAACTAATGATGTGGTATTGAAAATTTACTGTTAAAATAACTCTGAGTTTGACTTTGAGAGTTGATACAAAGTTATAATTGATCGTTCTTCTCCAAAAAAAAATCCAGAGAAACTGGCATTAGTAGCCTTATATATGATTCTTAAAACATTATTAATTACTAAAATTAGTATTTCCATGCACCTTAAGAAAACAGTTTCCTGGTCCAACAGGTGGCATGTTAGTAAGGTGCTGGATTCCCATAAGACTAACCATGGTTTGAGTCTGGGACTTGGAGGCTTGAAAATCACACCAAGTGGGACCGGCATATGGCACAATGGTTACATCATTGGTCTCCCACGTAGTCAACTGCAGTTCAAGTCCCAGACCTGGCAGCTTAACTCATACTAGGTGCATGTGCCTGTGTGCCCAAAATCCAGAGAGGAGAATGGAGGAGAAGGGATTGTGGTGTGACCATCCCCCTAGGGGGGTGATTTCTCACTTTCCCTCTCTCTCCCTCTGGAGAGTACACAGGCCCTATGGCAAAAACCTAAAATGAAAGAGAGAAAGAAAACAGCATCCTTGATGTAAATGTCTTGAATATGTAGCAAACGTGGGTTTTATGGTCTCAGGGAAATAATTCTGCCAGTCCTCATTATTAGCTGGAAAAAGGTCACACTTTAGAGAAAAGAAAACACTCTCCATGCACCTTAAGAAAACAGTTTCCTGGTCCAACAGGTGGCATGTTAGTAAGGTGCTGGATTCCCATAAGACTAACCATGGTTTGAGTCTGGGACTTGGAGGCTTGAAAATCACACCAAGTGGGACCGGCATATGGCACAATGGTTACATCATTGGTCTCCCACGTAGTCAACTGCAGTTCAAGTCCCAGACCTGGCAGCTTAACTCATACTAGGTGCATGTGCCTGTGTGCCCAAAATCCAGAGAGGAGAATGGAGGAGAAGGAGTTGCAGTATGGCTATCCCCCCGGTGTGTGTGTGGGGGGGGAGGGGGGGGGATTTTTCACTTTCCCTCTCTCTCCCTCTGGAGAGTACACAGGCCCTATGGCAAAAACCTAAAATGAAAGAGAGAAAGAAAACAGCATCCTTGATGTAAATGTCTTGAATATGTAGCAAACGTGGGTTTTATGGTCTCAGGGAAATAATTCTGCCAGTCCTCATTATTAGCTGGAAAAAGGTCACACTTTAGAGAAAAGAAAACCCTCTTTCCATTACCACTACCAAAGTGTCATCAAACACGAATTCAAGTCACAACAGAACAGAAAGATCATTTTTTAGCATATTTGTAAGGAAGACATTTTCATCGTTACACTAAAAATGATTATAAATTTTAATTCCAAAGACCCAATAATCTGGCAAGTAACCATTAGACTATACAGAGGTAGAGATAGAAATAGTTGTTTGTGTGTGTGTGTTTGTATGTGTACAGTATATGTGTATGCCAATTTAAATTTCTGACTCATCTCTCACCACCTCATCATTAACAATTTAATCTAAGCACATCAAGATTTGTTTTTCTATCGTTTTCCAGTCCAATTCAATGTGATTTTCCAGTCAGTTCATTCCTATTCTGTTTAAGCTCCCTTCCAACTTTTCACCCTCTCCATTTCTCCCTAAGATCATATTTAAATCCTAGGGTCTCATGATCTGATACTTCAAGTAAACAAATTAATCTGGATTACATTTACTAATTCAGTTGTTGTTCAGTTCAAATTTATTATTGCCAAAGGATCAATATATCCAGAGGATACAGTATTGAGTGCCTTTGGGAATCTCCCTTTATAAGAGATCTACATTCATATTCATAAAGAGGGTTGTATTTTTAGGGTTAAGAGATGGTCTTAACCTAAGTCCAAGGGTGCTTATTTGCCTGCATGCTCTCTAGCTGAACATGCTAGAACATACTATGATGTATCATTAGCATCCAAGATCTCCTCCCAAAAGTATGTTTCTTAGCATGCTAATGAAGCAAAGTTCAATCCTAGTTCGCCTGTCTCAGATCGCATGCGTTACCCTATAGCTGCCATAAGTCGTGATGGGCAAGACCTTTATGGTCCCTTTTTCCTCTCAAATTGTGTCATTAGAGTTGGCCTGGATCCCGTCTCCCGTGTCCCTATTTCCTTTCTCAATCTCTTTCTGGCCAGCATTGTTCTCGGGGTTGCCTGAATTCCATTCCTCTCTCTAATCCCCTGTCTCATATATATTAAACAACTTTCATTTGATGTCCCCAATAGTCCAGGAGGCAAAGACGGTGAGAGCATTAAAACAGACTCCCTACGGACCTGCGATCAGCCTTGTTTCTTCAGTCTCCCTCTAGGGGACGCTCACACTACATGGCTTCCGGTCGTCCTAACGCGCCCTCAGCTCTGGCACAACCTGAACGCGGTGCGGCGCGCGGCCTCCCTTTCCCAGGGGGCGCTGCGCAGAAGCTGGTCCCTCAGGGTACCACGGCAAATGCGCCCGGAATTATTTCCGCCCGGAAGCATTTCCGCTCTCCAACAGACGAGCTTCCCGTGACCTAATTCCGGTTAGTTGACGGGCCTTGTGCGCGTCGCAAGGAAATAACGTCAACCCCTAGCGCATAGGAGCCTGTCTGTGGGACAGCTGTCCCGGCGTTGTTCCGACATGTCTCACCTGCCGATGAAACTCCTGCGCAAGAAGATCGAGAAGCGGAACCTCAAACTGCGGCAGCGAAACTTAAAGCTACGGGGTGAGATGCCTGGGGAGGTCACGCGCGGGCCGTGGGGCGCTGGGGCGGCGGTGGGGCGGGTCGCGGCCGCTCTTACAGAGCCCTTGCGGCCCCGCTCTGGAGCACGTGGGATGGTGGCGGGGAAGGAGGCCGGCGGAAGCAGCCTCTGGTCGGGTCTGCGCTGCTGCCTGCTCTCCGCGTGGTCTCTAAACTACCCCGGACGTTCCTGAGCGTCAGTGTCTCCCTGGGATTAAAGCTGGAGGCCCCTGGGTTCCCAGCCTGGCCTGCCGCAGGGCTTCCATATGAACCTGCCTTTCGCCCTGCCACCTTACGGATTTTGACTCCCTCACTACTTGCAGATCCCCCTCGCCTGCACTCCTCCCCCTTACAGTCAGACAGCTGGGCATTTTATCTCCACGCACGTTCCTTTTACATCATCTATTTCATTGCTGTATTTTTCCCCAGAACTCATGTCAATCTTTCCGCAGAGCTTTCCCGATTCCGTTGCCTGCCTCTCCTGTCCACACTGCATTCTGTAGCACTTACTCACTTTCAGCTGGAAAAGTGTCTTTGCACGCGTTGAACGCAAAGCCTCCCGTGCCCTCTTCTTTCTGTCACTCCCACCTTTTGGTTACAAATTCCTTAAAAGCATCTACATGTTTGTGTCCTGCATGGTGACTTAAAAGAAGAGAATTTTGCATGGATGCCACCTTACCTGCCTTACTAGCAGTCCTAATTTCATCATATGGGCCAAAGATCTTGAAGTAATATGTTAACCTGTAGAGTCTGTTAAGATATGTTTCCAAGGGGAGTGAGACCTTTTGCTTCACTCCAGTTTGTTTTCAGCAGAAATTTAATTGATGGAAAGAAATCCTGAAGCAGGCAGCAGGCTTCTGTGTGTCTTGTTTTTTTTTTTTTTTAAGACCTTTTTAAAAATTTTGTTTTTATTTATTATTTTTAATTTGCTATAGAGCATGTACACCCACCAGACAGACAGGCAGTGAGCAAGCCCAGGACTCCAAGGAACAAGTGGCTATTTGAGAGTCGAGCGCCTAAACTACCATGCCACCTGCTGGCCCCCAGGCTTGTAGTTTTAGAAATGTGTTTTGAAATTCCCTCATCTTTCCAATTCCTCTAGAATAATACATCGGTTTCTATTTCTTGGTGCGGGTATAGGAAGCAATTTGAACAAAAGATGGTATTATTTACATGGCTTTTTTCTCTGTATATGAATAAGGAAACTTGGGTAAAACAAAAGGTGTTTTTATAAACTCTCAGGTGTTTATACACTGTATATGATAAATATTTGGACAAATAAGTGGTTTTATTAGCTGGATTTTTAATTCACTGCAGCATAAGAAAACAGGTTGAATGTTTGGGAGTTATGTGAGATGTAGTTGTGTGAATAAGATATAAATGTAGTCTTAGTATATCAATTTGTCATGTGTTTATCAAATAGTTAACACAAAAATGTTTATTTCATAACTGCTATTGTCTGACCCCATCTGTTTAAATAATTGACCTTACTAAAGTTTCCTGTCCCAGAGTCCTCAGAGAGAAATATGGTCTTTTGACGTAAAGAAATCAGTATAGTGAGTCCTTTGTCACCGAATATGTTCGGTTTTTAACCAGGTGCCTTGGATGTGAGCCTGTCAGAAACTCAGAATGGAGCTGTTGCTGAAGGGACAGTGGAAGGTGGAAAAGTTAAGAAATCCCTGAAACGGCCTGTGAAAGTGGCCTTGTCAGAATCCCAGAATGGAGACATACCTAAAGAAGAGGTGGAAAATGTAAAAGTTAAAACTGTTCCCCAGAAATCCACCATTTTAGTCAATGGGGAAGCAGCAATGCAATCTCCTAACTCAGAATCAAAAAAGAAAAAGAAGAAGAAAAAGAGAAAAATGGTGAATGATGCTGGGCCTGGTAAGTATGTCATTTTATGTAAAGTTCAGCCATTTAATTTTTCAAAGTTATTGCACCTTTTTCTGTGTTGTGATTGTTCTGTGTACATGAAAATAAGTGTCCCCCATACTCACCACTGTACCAGAGAGTAGCCTGGCAAGCAAGGGAAATACTGGGTTGTCGGAAAAGTCATGACATAATTTATCCTTAGTTTTCCGACAACCCAATAGTTTATTGGTGGAAAGGAATGCATTTTAATTTTTCTCAAAATATTAAGCAATATTAAATGCTTTTATATTTCCTAGCCTTGATGAAAACCTCAAACTTAGACAAAAAAATCTTAGAATTCTAGAAATTTGTTCCTTGGGCACTAGCTGAGGTTTTTATAATAAACTGAACACAGTATGGCAGAGTTTTGTAGGTTTACTTATTTGCAAACAGAATTGCAGAATTATGAACACTGAATCCAGGCTAGTAACAGGATCTGTCTCTAGGCTTTTGTGTATAGAGGCACTTCGCATTTGTGATTCTTTTTACTTAACTCTGTTGGCCCATCCTATATTTTTTCCCTACTAAAGTAAGTTTACTGCCTGGCCCTTTATATAAAATTTGCCAACCTCTGAGTTAGAACATTCTATTCATGTTTATATCTGAAATAAAGATTTCATTTAGGACGGAGCTTTGAGCTCTTCCTAATATGCATGGTGCTCTTCACACTGCCTATAAATTAATGAATTTGTACGTTATAAGAAATCACTTTAACAAAAGTAAAGCAAGTTACTTAGGATCTGTGACCAGTTACTTATGACCTGTGATCTGGGATGAAAAGATATATTTGACTAATTGGATTCCTCTGAGATGTTTAAAATTATAAACCTGGGAACATGAGACAGCATAGGGGATGAAGATGAAAAGACATCTAGAAATATGAAAGACAAAATCATGAGTAAACTAATACTTCTATGAGTAGAAAAGATGAACGTAAGGAAATTAACCAATAGAAAGGAGAGTTCAACAAGAGAGGATGAGAAAGAATAAATGAGTTGTTTTGAGTTAAAAGTGATTGGAGTTTTATTCTAACATTACTAATCCTTTTAAGATTGTTTTGCATATTCCCAAACAGGTGGCAGTAATTCTACTTTTAATTATCGAATCACAGTGGTGACAGTTTTTGCATTATAGGTAAACTCTTAAAAACTGTTCTAAGGAAAACAAAAGTGATAAGCCATGGAGACCAGCTGATGTCCATGGCTTTAGAACCCTTGGGTCCTAGAGCTGACCATTCCCCAGAACAGTGGCAGGAGAGTACTAGCTTCCCAGTCCTATACTACAGATTCTGGATTTTTTTTTTAAGAGTAATGGGTGGTAGGACTTGAAAAGTAGTTTAGGATCATGTTATCAAAGTTACAGTTGTGAAGGTGAGAAGCTAGGAAGTCCTCCTTACCTTTATATTGTTTAGTTGAATTTTTTAAAAAAATTTTAAATGAGGTGATATATTAAACTGAAAAAAATAGTTTTGTTGACCCATCTGTATATACTCTGGATTTTTAGATACAACCCTTTTTTTTTTTTTTTTTTTTTTTTTTTTTGGTGAAAAGGAGATTCTTTAACGTAATGATACCGAATATGTTAAGCTTTTGAAATAATGCCTTTTTTACATCACAAATTTTTGGTTGATCCACTTGGTTTACTTAACTGTTAAGAGAATTTATTTGGGTTTTGTCCTTAAAACAAAAGATACCAAAAAAGCCAAAACTGAAAACAAAGAAGAATTTGAAGAAGAGAATAAGTCTCCTGAAGAAACAGAAAACAGTGTGGAGAAGCCAGATGAGAAAGATGAGAATGAAGTGCCCAGCCTGCCGCTGGGGCTAACAGGTAATTGCCAGGAAGTTTTTCAGATCTTCTAAATGATGTTGTGCCTTTCTGGATCACAGTATTGAAGGCTCAGTTGTGACTTTACTTTTAGTTTACCTGGGAAAAGTAAAAATCAGCACCCTCCCCCCCCCACACTTTTTATATTCTACTTTGTGGTGCTTTCATTTTTTGTGTCTGTTGTTGCTATTTTGTTTGTTTTTTTTTTTTTCCCCCTTTATTTCTGACACTATAAATATTTTTACATGCACACAGACAGCTCCAGGGATTCTGCATTTCTTTGATGTGTCTTTTACTAAGGCTCATTCTGTGTTGTAATAGGGGATTCATTGGCCTGGAAGTTTGGAGACCAGAGTATGAATACAATCTTCATTATTGATAAGGAAAAAAGGGTGAAATTAATATTATTGAGGCACTTCTGTTAGATTAAACTTCATTGACCTTTATTCTTTTTTATAAAGTCATAGTTTACATAAGAAATGTCTAGAAGATATTGAGTTTTTGTTTGGTTTGGGTCTGTTGTTAAAAATATGAGTGAGGCCCAGCTCTAGACTTAATCAAAGTTGCGAAGGCTATGGTAGTGGTAGTCAACCAGGGCAATTTGACCTCTCAGGGTGACTGACTCATCCCAGTTTGGTCAGAACTTTCTCAGTGTTAGCACTGAAAGTCATGCATCCCAGGAACCCCCTCTGTCCCAGGCAGGGTTGGGTTGGTCCACCTTACCCTTAGGCGACATTTTTGGTTATCAGAACTAGCGGCAATGCTGGCCCCATAGTGCAGTGATTAAATGCTGTGTGTTGGGAACCAGATTACACATGGCTGACTACGGTTAGAATCCAGCAGCAGTGGCTTGAAAACATACCAGGCATATGTGTGTGTACACACAAAATCCGGACAGGAAGGAGATATAGAGGGAAAAAGATTGTGGCATGGTCATGCCCCATTGAGGATTGCTTTCTACCTCTCTGTCTGGAAAGCACACACCCTCTAATGATTTTGTGTGTGCGTGTGTGTATATATTTATTATATAATTTTTTTTCTGTAAGTACTGGGCCAGTGTACTGACATCTAAGAGGTAGGAGTAAGAGAGACTGCCTAGCATGTTAGTATGCATAAAATAGCTCCTAAACAAAAGAGTTATCTAGCCCCAAATGTTAGTAGTGCCAAAGTTTTCGAGCTGGTTTCCAGCTTGAAAATACAGGTGATGGCAAGCTCCCCAAATGATTTTTGATGCCATGCACTGGAGAAGAACCACTGAACCACTTGATATGTAGGTTTGGTCTAACTTTTTGTGTTTATATCAGATTTCTTAAACATTTCATCTTCCTGTGGACTCCTTTCCTCTCTCCCCATCTTGGCATATTTTTATTTTAGTCTCTCTACCATACCTCCTTTCCACCACTTGTTATTGTATTATGGTACCATTTCTGAACTGTAAATTACACAGTCATCAGCAGTAGAAACTTTAAAAGCCTTGGGGTCTTTGTCTTAGTATTATCGCATGGGAATGGTTAAGGTTTAGTCTTTCCTTACTGTAGGGAGCCCTTCTAAGTATGACTACTCACTGATGTTTCAGCGAGCAAAACCAATTTTGGCAATTTGATGCACATGTGCTCACCAGAGACCGACACAGAAGGAAAGTGAGAAACACCCCCCTCATGGGGATGGCTATGCAGCAATCCTTTCTTCAATCTTCTCTCAGGATTTTGGACACACACATGCACCCTGCATGATTTTCAAGCCACCAGATCTGGAACTCAAACCATGCAGCCAGCCATGTGGGAATCAGTGCCTTAACCACTAGACCACCCACTGGCCCATAATGTTAACTTTGTTTAAAAGATAAATTTTCTAGTGATAAACTATCTTCCATTTAGGAGCTTTTGAGGATACTTCATTTGCTTCTCTCTCTAATCTTGTCAATGAAAACACTCTGAAGGCAATTAAGGAAATGGGCTTTACAAACATGACTGAAATTCAACATAAAAGTATCAGACCACTTCTGGAAGGCAGGTATGGTGACTTTGACGTTTGGATGTTGGGACCTGTTTTTAGGACTCGTAGACTAAAAAAGATACCAGTATGTTCTGTTGAATTTTTGTACTGTGCTGGATCATAAATCTAACCTGTATTAAAGGTGTTCATTTATTTACTTGTTTAAAGAAAAGGGTTCACTTCTGTTCTATAGCACAGTCTTATTTCTGAATTGGATAGATAACCCAAGTGACTGATTTTAGTGATGGAGAAGGTAGGGAATCTGTCTGTCCTGTTCGTGTTCTAGCTTTAGTGCATTAAAGCTCGTATGCAATACATGGTGAGGTACACAGGGAATTCTTGGATGAATAGACTAAATATTGTTCTCCTTTTTTCCCTTTTTAATATTTAGGGATCTTCTTGCAGCTGCAAAAACAGGCAGTGGCAAAACCTTGGCATTTCTCATCCCTGCAGTTGAACTCATTGTTAAGTTAAAGTTCATGCCCAGGAACGGTAAGCTTTAGGTCTGTTTGTTTCTGCCATCTTGTGGTAGCTGTTGTGGACTCATCGTGACACCGTGGCTTGACTTTTAACATACATCAGTTTTTGCTTTATAGGAACAGGAGTCCTTATTCTCTCACCTACTAGAGAGCTGGCCATGCAGACTTTTGGTGTTCTTAAGGAGCTAATGACTCACCATGTTCACACATACGGGTTGATAATGGGTGGCAGTAACAGATCTGCTGAGGCACAGAAACTTGCTAATGGAATCAACATCATTGTGGCCACACCAGGCCGTCTCCTGGACCATATGCAGGTAAGATACAGTGTCATATATTGCTTGTCTTGTGTTATATGAAACATCTAATTGACAACTAACAGTTATTCCTTATTCTTTGTTTTGCTAGAATACCCCAGGGTTTATGTATAAAAACCTTCAGTGTCTGGTTATTGATGAGGCTGATCGGATCCTGGATGTTGGCTTTGAAGAGGAATTAAAGCAAATTATTAAACTTCTGCCAAGTACGTAGCATCTGCGTGTGGTTTGCAAAGTACGTGATGGAGGTAGATAAGAATTATTCCTGCAAACAGACTTTTGTATTACTATCAGAATTTAACTGTAGCCAAGTGCAATAGTTTTGCCAATCTACTTTAGATAATTTAGGTATCAAACTTATTAGGAACTTTACACAGTAGTTTTGTCATTTTAGAGGTGATAGTACAAGTTAATGAGTCTTTACAATCATCCCTCTATATCTCTGGGTTCCGTGTGCATGGATTCAATCACAAATATTTGAGAAAGTAAGTTAATAACTTCTATATCACGCATACACAGACTTTTCTTCTTGTTATTCCCTAAATTATGTAGTTAAAATAACTTTTTACCTAATATTTACGTTGCATTAAGTATTGTCTAGAGAAGGGCCACTTGTGGGCAGTGCTAACACAGCACTCCACATGCTAAGCACACACGGAAAGATCCTGGGTTCTTACCGGGAGGTTTCCCTGAACACACCAGGAGTGCTTATGCCCACAATCTTGAGCTGACTGAGGCTGGGGGTGGACTGAGGCATGAAGACCCCATCAGGGATGCCTTTGTTCATCCATTCATTTATCCCTTCTTCCCCTGCTCTCTCTGAAAAAAAATAAACCTTTTTAAAAAAGTAATCTGGAGATGACTTAAGTATATAGGAGGATATATATGTGTGTGTGTGTGTGTGTGTGTGTGTGTGTGTGTGTGTGTATGTACATATATTATATGTATGTTATATGCAAATACTCCATTTTAGATAAGGGGCTTGAGGATCCCTGGATTTTAGTAACTGGGGGAGAAGGGGTCCTAGAACCAATTCTCCAGGGATATTGAAGGACTTCTGTATGTTTCATTCCCTCCCTCATAATCCTACCTGTTTGGGTCTCATCCACTGATGTCCCAGGTAGCCATAGTCTTGTTGCTTTATATGTCATATTTGACTTCTAAATACCTTAGTTATAGTATTTGCAGCGTTATAAAGTCCTTTTATCTGATGAGGCCATGACTCCATTCATCATATGATGTATTTTTTTAATGCTTTCCTGAGGCATAATTGACATAAGTTGTACACATTTAAAATGTGCAGTTTGATACTCTGACACATTTACCCCTGTGAAGCCATCACTGCAGTCAAGGTAATGAATATATTCATTAACCTCTCCTTGAGCCTCTTGGTGTCCAGCCGCTTATATCATCAGGCCATGAGCTGACCCTTACTAATTTTATACCTTAGAGGTAAAAAGCGTTCATCTTTCATCATGAGGTAAATGATGCTAGCTACAGGTTTTATGAAGATTCCTGTAATTATGTTGAGGTAGATCCCTTCTGTTCCTAGTTTGCCAAGGGTTTTTAGAAGTAGGTGTTAAATTTTGTCAAATGCTTTTACTGCATATTGAAATGGAGTGTTTTTTGTTCTTTGGTTTTTTAATATAGTACATCATATTGGTAGATTTTTCAAATGTTAAACCACCTTCGGATTCATAGAATAAACCTTACCTAGTCATGATGCATTAAGCATTTTATATATTGCTCAATTCGTTTAGCTAATATTCTGCTTAGCAACTGTGCATCTGCTTATGAATTGTATTGGCCCATACTTTTTTTTTTTTTTTTTTTTTTTGTGTTTATTTGCACCTTTTGGTTTTTTGTGGTTTTAG